CGATGCGGTGGTACTCAGTCATATTAAAACCACATGTTTCATCTAATTTCAAAGGGAACGTCCTCTAACAAACCAGGTTACTCGTCTGTTATAATTCAACGATACTCATTGCCAGTGACCGTTAGGTCGAAGAAGTAAGGTCCAATAAAGTATGATCCAAAAATGCCTTCCCAAACATTCAACGACCACTTGTTTTGGGACGTGAATCGAAATAGGTAAAGATTTTCAAGTTCTTCACAGTTCACAGTTCTTTTCTAAATATCTACAAAACGAATCATGCTAGGTATATATGTATAACCTTGTACCAAATGAATTTTAATATTTCCTACAAAATGAGTCAGATAAAATTAAATTATTAGAAGAAATTTTTCACTATGTAACAAAAAACAAAATTTGTTTAATTTACTGTTTGTATTTTGAGAACGATTTCCGAAGTGGAAATTGAAACGTCAATAAACGTATTTTTATCTTTAAAAAAAAAAATGCAATACTAATATAAATGTTGTTCCATTAAAAAAAATTACATTTGAAAATAGTGCTCATACTATATATTGTATGGATAGATATCAAAGATATTAAATCATTTGAAAATACCACTACATCAGAAAAATTTTGACGTATCATTTACGTTTTTATTACTTTGAAAACCTTTGAGTATTAGCATTTTTCTCATTAAAAGCGACAATATTTCGAAAATTGTTAACTTTAGGCCTATAAAACCTTACAAACTCTTCATATTTTAAAAAATATATTCGAAAATTCTTAAATATACAGTTCCATTAAAAAAATACAACTTTGGTTCATTCCCTTGTTCCGACTGACCCTGTACGATCAAAAATAATATTAAATTTTAGGGTAACCTGTATTTTGTTATCCAGGAGCCATTAGAAGCGTCATGAGGTGAAATCTGAAAGGGATTTAGAACAAACACTGAAACCGTGTAAAAACTGGAACAGTGGAGATAAGCTCTTGAGAAAAAAGTTTAAATCTAGTAGGACAAAAACAGAGTATTTGGAATGTTCATTTAAAAATGGAATTACTACAAATAAAATGTTAACTTTAGATGTAAAAATTATTGTGAAAAGTAATAGTTTTAACTGTCTAGAATTGGTATTACCTACGGAGATATGGAAAAATAGATAAAGATGCATGCAGTAGGGTTAGGGCTGGATGGATGAAGTGGAAGGAAGCGGGTGATGTGTTATGCTACAGAAAGATTCCGATGAAGCCAGCTGTCACAACCTAAAAAAATACAAAAGTTACTGATATTGTAGAGTTAAATGAAAATTTTAAATAAAAATAGACCAATTATGTATCAATCATGGTGGATAAACTAATAGGGTAGAATTAAGACTCAAAAACATAAAGAAACCGTTGGATGCTCTTAAATCAAGCGACAAAAAAAAAACACCCAAAAAAATAAAATAATCTTGTGATGAACGACTATTTTCTGTCTTGACGTAAATGGTTATGTATTAAGTATTATGGAAGATTGATGATAATTGGTATGTCATCTACATATAATTGAAAATGTTGACACTTGTTTGAATTTTACATGTTCGTCACTATTCTGTCACTATATTACAATTTTTTTAAATTTTCTAAGAGTATTATGAGTTTTATTTATTTAGTTACGAGCTTTACTTAGTTTTTTAACTAAATCTAACATTAGTGAATAGCCACAGTTTAATTTTAGGCACTTTTTGGTAGAAAATTGCACGATTTTCTTCTTGTACTTATACTTGGCATTCGATTATAATATATTGTAGACTTAGACTTTCTGAATTTTTGTTTGAATTGATTCAATTTTTTCTACTACAACTATTTTACGTAAATAAATCCATTGTTGCAAACCTTTCTTGTATATTTGTACGGCCTTTTTATTAACTGTGGACATTAACCGTTTGATGTCTGTGTTTTCTGCCAAATCGGCGTTTTGAATCGTGGATTTGGCAGCAGCGTCTACAGATTTCCATGATATAATATGTCAGGCTAAATTATTTTATCAGCTAAAAGAATGACCTTTTAATTGCAATAAACAGTGCAATTATTTAGATTGAATTATGTAAAGATTTCTCCAAAATTTCCTTATATTTTCAATGATTTCATGCGTGTTATGGCGAGTGAAAATATCACATCAATGGCCATTATGTGATGGTCTAGTAGGCGCCAAAATATAGTAAAGCATGACGCATAGAGACAACTTTTACTTTATACCAGTCTGTACCCACGAGCTTTCTTTTGGTCATATTTTATGTGTTCTGTTTAGCTAAATTGCGAAAATTTGCGAAACTTGTTATATAATTGTCATCGTTTATGTTTTTATATAATTAAAATTATGGTTTATGTCCATTAAAAAATAGTAGTTAATTGTAATAGTTATGCTAAAATTATCATCTCAGTTGCGAGATTTTTCTACAGTTTAATTGTTTTTAAATCAAACATCCATCCGCGTTTTCTTTTCATATTATGATTTTCTATGCTTTTTTTATTTTTATATATCGCATTAGCGATGTGTAAATTTTAAGCATTTCATAACATCCAAATCAGGTTAAAAACCGATAGTTTTCCTTATCGTTTGAAAGACTTAATGTGTATATAAGGCCTTAATATATCGAATGGCTCTTGGTTGAGTTTCTGAAGTGTCGTAAGTGTATTGTGTGGCGTAAAGATTGTTAAAAAATGTTCACTCGTAGTGAAGAGTGCCTATATCCAGTTGTACTTTTGTCTGGTTTTTTTCCTTGATTTTCTCTTCTACTCTCCTCCTCCATCCTGTTACATTCATCGTTCTCAAGTAATTCTTCACATCGTCCAAATATCTAGTGCTAAGGCGTTCTTTCTTTTATATGCCTATTGGTTTCCATTGCAACACTATGCTAGTTGCTTTTTTGTCTTTTACAATATCATGTCCTTCATTCACTAATCTCATTATTTCATCTTCTTCTTCATCGCGTGCCATATCAGAATTATCCGACGTTGGCGATCAACGTTGCGAAGGTTTCTCGATCTTCTGCAATGTGGAATAATTGTCCTGCATTTGATATCTGAGTCCATTCACCAATTTTTTTTAACCAAGAAAGTTGTTTGCTTCCTACGGCCCTCTATTTTGATTTTAAGGATCAGTTGTCATATTTTATATCTACTTTTCCTTACTATATGTCCCAGAGACGACATTTTTCTATGTTTAACAGTCTTTAGCAGTTCTCTATCTTTGTTGAAGCCTCCTTAGTACTTCTTCATTAGTTTTCCTTGCTGTCCAAGGTATATTTAGTATTCGTCTATGAATCCACATTTCCAATGCTTCCATTTTGTTCATGATCGATACTTTTAGCGTCCACACTTCTACACTATACAAAAGTACGGACCAAACATGGCACGTAACCATTCTTTGTCTTAGTTCTAAACTTGATGGTTATTGCAAAGAAATGACTTCGTTTTCATAAAAGTATTTTTAGTCATTGCTATTCTACGTTTTATTTCTATGTCTGGATCTAATTGATCCGTTATCACAGTTTCCAAATATGTCATTTTGTGAACTTTCTCAACTTGGACTCCGTTAAATTGAAGCTTTGCATCGAGATGTGGGTCACGACTAAACACTAAAAATTTGGTTTTGTTTGAGTTTATTTTAATGCCCATTTCCTCTCTCCTACATAAAGCCGAATTTGAAGACCTTCAATATTATCTGATAGAATTACTGTATCGTCTGCATATCTAATCCCATTAAGTAGTTCCCCATTGGTTTTTATTCCATATGGTTGTCTCTCAAGTGCCTTTTTAAATAACTCTTCCGAGTAAACATTGAACAATGTTGGCGACAAAATGCAACCTTGTTGTTTCCTCGTTGTATAGAGATTTCATCGGTGTAGTTATCTCCATTTTTTACGATAGCAGTTTGATTCCAGTACAAATTTGTAATAACACGAATATCCTTGTCACCGATTCCGATATTTTTCAGTCTTTGCATTATTTTTATATTTTTGCATAATATTTCATCTTATTATCCATATATCATCATAGACCATATTATCTCTCAGTTCTTCATCATTTTCTCAGTAGTTATTCTTCATCATTTTTATACATAACCCAGGTATCAGTTATTTTAGTATGCTGATACAGGTTAATATATTATAGTATATTAAGGGTTCTATAATTAACGCTTGTTTTTAGCCAGTGTACATTGTTATATAGTTCAATGTTATATTCGTAAACTTTTCCTTGAATTGTTCTTATTGTTAATATACCATTGGCGTTGTGGCCCTATTTGCTATAAATTCCTTTTTGATAATCGTTGATTATAATTTCCAATATATTTGATACTTTCTAATGATACTATATAGGTAATACCAGAAATAACTCAAACTAATTGTTATTAAAACTTAAAACGGCAATCCTTCCTTCTTTAAATATTTTTTGATTTTAACGATAAAACATCTCCGAACTAATGCAGCAAACAATATCTGGATAGCACCAGTCTTGGTTATATGCCCAGCTTCATTATCACTGAGTAACATAACACACTCATATGCACATCTATATTTATTGTAATCTTCTGCAAACAGAAAGTTTCTTGACATGTGTGTTATTGCAAATTCTAAATGTATAATTTTATGACGTGAAAGACGACGTCTAATAATTTCAGGACGTTTCAGACTGAAGACTCCTACTGCTTAAGTCTTATTACATTAACTTGTATTGATTTTAAAAATTTTAAAGTTGCGATGCTATAAGTGTGCACGTAGACTGCTTGCATCTTTCATAGAAATAAACTATATAAGCCATTATTCTCAAGGAATTTGTTGTTTATCTATCAATTGAGTTTTGAGATACCAATAGTGTAACGTGTATATAGTCTAATTTTTACTATATAGCAATGTGTTCATTGGTAATAGCAAGTAGCCGAAACTTTTGAACAATAATAAAGCGTTTGTATTTTATTTCAGAAATGAGACTACTTCTAGCCTTATTGGCACTTTCTGTGTTACATCATACAATAGCAGAAGAAGCTTCATGGTCTTGGGGCTCAAACGACAAAAATGAAACCCCACAAAAATCTTCCAATGAGCCACTTGCAGAAACTGTGCCCAGATCTTTAAACCCTACATTTTTACAAGATGAGGAAATTCTAATTGCTGAACCTTCCGAATATGCAGAAGACATCAAAGCAAACAGCACAGAAGCAGAACTTGTAATAGATGAAATCCTTAGCTCTACAAAGAAAGGTAGAGCCATAGATGGTTTCGATGAAGTTTATAGCGACCCTAACGTACAAGAAGCTTTGCAAAAGGGGGACGATTCCGAAGCGAGAAATGTTATCAAGGATAGGTTATGTGCTTTGGGACTTATGCAGGTTTGTATTTTAATTTAAATTTTCTTCTTTTTTAAAGTACTATTATGATTGATATTTTGCCTCCTCTGTATACATTAAATAATTGTTTGCAGACCGAAATAAGCCTTCAAACTTTTGAAATCGTTAAGCTACCTCACAATATATTGATTTTTACCCCATTTCAGTTTTTAATAGATTTATCGATAATTTTGATAACTCATCTGTTTGTAAAATTTAAGTAAGACTAATAGAAATATACTAGAACGGGTATATAATCCCAAAATAAAGTAATAAAGCTCCAAATAAAATAGTATCAAAGTATATTATAAAAATTATATCTTAATATTTTGCCATTTTTATTTATATAATACGCTCTTGTCATTTTTTAGTGTGACGGTGTTGAGGAAAAGAGACCATTCTACTCTCCTGAAGAACTTATATACGCCCAACCAGTCTCCATAAACCCTGTTGGTAAACCCATTGCAACCATTCCCATCAAAGGACACCGTGGTGTAGGATATGGTCCCCCAAAACCCCTTCACTATCCAAGTCGTCCCTTACCTCCTTCCGGAAAATTCCCGCCCTTAAGCATATCACCAAACAAATTCGGTCCACCACCTACCTATATACAACCAGGAAAACCACCTCGCCGTCAATTTGCTGGTCCACCTACAAAACCATTCTATGGCAAGCCAGGACTTAATGGTGAAGTTTATGAAGGAGGAGAATATTTTAGCAAGCCTCCAAGCTTTGCTGCTGGTCTTGAGTTTGTGCAACCCATAGAACCTGAGATTCCTTACAAGTTTGAACAGGGAGCCAGTCAGTTTGGAACACATAAAGATAAAAGAGTGGAAATCACTGTTAATGCTCAAGGGGGACACGCTGGTGCATTAGGATCTTCATCAGCTGCTAAAGGTAAAGAAAATATATTAAAATATATTTTTATGTTGCAGATTTAAGGAATTAATATATTTTCGTAATGGAAATTAATAAAATTTCTATTCACTGTGGTTTTTTAATATTAGGTACCGTAGAACACGTCCATCATCATTACCACCATAACCTTGACAACAACAAGCCAGTAGTAGTCAACCCAGCCCCTCTTGCTGCGGCAGCTGTAACTACCTCAGATTTATCTTCTGGAACTTTTGGTACTAACTCATTTGGTTCCAGTGGAACATACAATTCCTTTAAACCTTCTATACCTATCAGTGCATCAACCACAGCCGGACTTGGTAATTTTGGATCTAGTAACGGTTTTCTAGCATCTAACACTTTTGGTTCTACAAATGGATTTAGTCAAGCTTCCTATGGTGGTCAACCTATTGCAAATTATGGAGTTAAACCTATTACCGAAAATTATCAAGATCAAGGATACGAAGGTTTTGGAGCATCTGTAGGTTCATATGGATCAACAGGATTGTATAAAAAAGAGTTAAACCTTAATTCAGTTAATAATAACTATCTACAAGCCAATTACGCTGATAAGTATCAAGGAGTTGAATCGGCAAGGGCTGAGAATTATGATTGTATCTGCGTACCTTACGACCAATGTCCGTCTCATGACGTTATTGGAAGGAAAGATGATTTGTATTTACCTCTTGACCCTAGAAATCTAAAATCCGATATCGAGGCAATTAGCGACGAAGAAAGAGTTATCACAGATGGAAATGGTACGATGACCGTAGTAATAGTTAACAAGGACACCGGATTAAGTGGAGCAAATGTAACTGAAGTTACGGAGGAGAGTAAGAGGATCAGCAAACGGGATACTTCTGAAGTAGATGCCAAAGTGAACGAAAAAGATGGTAAACCTGAAGCGGTAAGTCGCATTTACTTTTTTTTAAATTAATGTAATAATACATAATATTTAACATATATGGTAATCGATTAATACATGTTATATTTAATAATATTAATATTTTATATCTTCTTGGGTAAATATATTTTCATTTTATATATTTTTTGCTAACATTGCGTACCTTTTTGCTAAAAATTTATTTTTGTAAATAATTACTGCCATTAAGCTCATGTTTACCAATTTACAGATCAAATTCTTAACCAATCGGAAAGGAATTCATAGGAAAACCACCGCCTCAATGTTAATATAAACTAAAAATTATAATTGCGTTGTATCATTTAACACATAGGGTGTAGGATGTTAGATATTCTTAAATACGCCAGTTAATCCGGCAACGTTGTTACAGCGCCAGGGCAATTATGGTTCTCTTGGAAACTTGGATATGAAGAAAATAAAACCAACATTCGGAGTTTCGTTCGGTTTACCACAACAAGGAGGCGGTGTGTATCCTGTGAATCCTTATGGTCCCACGCCTTTCTCTAATCCTTATCCGATTGGGCAACCCGGGATAAATCTTGGCTTAGTTTCAGTGAATCCTCTTGTGTCAATTCAAGTAACTAAGGATGATTATGGCAATAAAGAAATCAAGCCTTTTGTTAACTTACACGTAACACCTAACGACTATCTCATTCATAAATTTTCTGATATTTTTAATTACAAAAAAGCTGTTATATTTAACAAACACAAGCACTATCATGTTCATAAAGGCAGCCATTACCCTCACCATAGCCATTATCCTCAATATATTCAAAGTCCTCATGATGTATATCGTGAGCACCCTCATGAGTTTGAACCTCAATATCCTACAGTGCATGGTCCTCCAATTTTTGAAGGACCTCACTATGGAGGTCCTCATTATGAATCAAACAACCTTCATAACTCGTTTCCGGAACAATATCCCAATACACATGAAGGACCCATACCAGGTTCTTACTTTGACAACCCTTTAAATTACGGGGGAGGGGAATATTACCCAGGACCACTTTACGGAAAAAATATTGGGAGTAGCAATGAATTTGTTGAAGGAAATAGCGTATTACAACAATACCAAAGTCAAGCTAGTCGTGGTGCTGAAGCGTATGGTGAGGAAAATAATGCCGAATTTCAAAATTATCGAAGATTGCGCGTAGGAAAAAACCTAAATATTGATAAATCTTCTTCTAATCCTATCCGCTTTCCTACAAATCGGAAACGAAGAGATGTTAGGGAATCTGAAAATTATAAAAAACTTACGAAGGTAAAAATATTTATAGATTTACTTCCCAATATTTTAATGTTAATCACTGATAATTATCAGATTATAATAATTATACATTCTTTAAAATTTTATTAATTTTTGTAATTGTTATAAATATTTTATGTATATCATTGCGTATATGTATATAATATGATCTGCTATTTATATTTAAAATCACTATTCATTTTTTATTATTTTCATTATTTATACTTTTTATCTAGCAATAAACCATCTTTTACCTTTATTTTCGTAGAAACACATTCGTGTATACAAAAAAAGTTTCTTTATTCATACATTTGTCCTCTTATTATTTCAGAGACAGTTCTATGGAGGCAATAACTTAGTAGGTCGTCCACAAACCTGCGGTCCAAGGCACGTATGCTGCAAACGTCCATTACGTCCGCAAGTACCTCATCCAAACAGACAATGTGGTACCAGACATTCCCAAGGTATTAACGGCCGTATTAAGAACCCCGTCTACATAGATGGCGACAGCGAATTTGGAGAATATCCCTGGCAAGTTGCTATTCTAAAGAAAGATTCAAAGGAAAGTGTATACGTTTGTGGTGGAACATTGATAGATCCTCTGCATATTCTTACTGCTGCCCATTGTGTTAAAACGTAAGTTGTTGGAGATAATATTAAGTTTTTCGGCAGCAGCTAAATTTTTTATTTGAGATCATATTTGACTATTATCATATAAATTTACATCATTATTTTATTATCATAGATTTTAAAATAAAACTGTCTTCAATATCGGCACTGTTCTAATAATTGCGTTTTTAGCACGGATCATGAAATCGTTATTAAATACTCACCACATATTATGCCATATTGAGAAGAAAAACAGAATAAATCGATTTACCAAGAATCTGTACACCGTAGAAAAATGTTTCGAATAAAAAATATAGCTGGGATAATTATTATAAAAATGTTTATTACCACATTTTGTACAGAATGAACCGGTATCTCAGAATCAACGCTGGAAGCGACCGGTGATTTTAAATGTCAGTTACGCGTGCAAAATCCATTTAAATAAAATATGTATCAACTCGACGGTAAAAATTCGATATCTTTTGATTAGAGTATTCCATCACCAAAAATAAAAATGCGTTTTAACAGAAAAGAATGCAGCTTTCGTATGCTATTTTTGTAGTTTGCTGTAAATAAATTCAATTTTTATAAAGGGGTAAATAAATAAACATTGCGCGTTTTTGCCATTTTTTATTATTCTCATAAGATCAATAGAATTATTCACTTTCATTATCCGGTCAGACTCGAAAAAGCTCGTTCTAATTTTATGAAAATGAAAAAGGTCCTATGTGGCAAAGATTTAACATTAGCTCTTAAAGTACGCCTAACAAAATGTTACGTATACAGTGTACTATACCAGGGGTCACCAATTATATTCCTCAAGAGTCCGTTTCTAAAACCTACTACACTTCCGCGGTCCGGACACGCAGCACTAAACCAGCAAGTGGCGTAACCGGGGGGAGGCGGTTACCCAGAAACCCTCTAGTAGTTGTAACCCCCTAAGGAGATCATCCTGGTTACGTAGTTGAAACCAGGCACCTAGGCCACTTCGTTTAGGGAGGAGTATGAAATAAACTCACGGAAAAAGATGATTATAAAGCTATTATATTGTTTTTTTTTCGTCTTTATTGAATAAATATATATTTGCAGCGAAATTTAAAATATTTGTATCGTAGAACTTAATTTAATCATTTAATGCTACTGTTTCTTTTTTTTTCTGCAACTATACTGTTCAACAATTTTATGAGTTAAGATTAGTTTAGATAACGAATATTTTTATTTAGTATTATTACTCTGCATTTTAAAAATGTAAAAAGATATTTATATATTTAGATTTGATTATAATTTTATTACTATATTTTGAATTTAACGGCGGTCCTCAAAAAACAAGCTGGCGGTCCGGATGCGGACCGCGGTCCGCCATTTGGTGACCGCTGTAGTATACTATGGAGTGGAATCATGGACGTTAAATCTAGACACAATGAGACGACTTAACGCATTTGAAATGTGGACCTATAGAAGAATTATGAGGGTTTCCTGGGTAGATCGAGTTACGAACAATGAAGTACTGAGAAGAATAGATAAATAGAAGGAAGCTGAACTTACAATTAAAGAAATAAAGCTACAGTATCTTGGACATGTGATGCGGCGCGAGAAATATGGCATCTTGCGACTCGTAATACAAGGAAAGATAGATGGCAAAAGAAGTATCAGAAGAAGACGAATTTCATGGCTTAAGAACCTGAGAGAATGGTTTGGATGCAGCTCAAAACAACTATTTAGAGCTACTGCCTCAAAAATTAAAATAGCTATGATGACTACCAACCTCCGTAGCGGAGATGGCACCTGAAGAAGAAGAATTGACCGGTCGTAGTGTAATTTGCATTTTTAAAGTATAATCTTCAAACATTTTAGATCTTTTGTAATGCGAAAGTTTAAATTTAGCATTTTTTAGGCATATTTCAAATGTCATATATCATTTGTTGCCAAAACTCAAAACCCTAATTTGATAATAAACGTTAATATTAGGTTTTAGTAATAAAAATTCCCTAGTGACCGGTGAATCAACGAGAAAAATTTTATTCATATCATGAGAATCATAAAAAATTGCAAAAATCGCGCAGCCTTTATTTATTTGTCCCTTTATAACAACTGACTTTATTTACAGAAAAATTTTAAAAAATTTGATTTTTGTCAATAGAACACTCTACTCGAAACATGTCGAATTTTTACCGTGAATTTTTTTTCTTTGTCGCGGTACTGACAATTTGTTAAAAATCATCATCTCAGACACATTTCTTGTTTGAAAATTTTTTCTACGGCGTACAGATTTTTGGTAAATCGATTTTTTATCGTTTTTCCCCTCCGAGGTGTGTTTTAAAGTCCGGGATAGTAAACTTTTTTGCATATTTTTGGGGTCCCAACATTGACATTGTCAACAAAATTCATCTTTTTATCAAAACATTTTTTCATACCAAAGCAGAATAAAATTTTATGGCTATTCCTTAAAACTTACCCGTAAGAAATAACAGCCCGTGTCTTATATTTTTACCTTTTCCTCTTTTCACTTTCATGTGAAAGAATTCTTCTTTTTCATTTCATTTTATTTTATCAATATTTTCATCTTCAATCATCAAAACTATCTATATCTATATTTCTATATTTTTTGTTAATTTTGCCTTTATTCCCAAAAAGTAACAAAGGTCGACACTATTTCGATTGTAATGGTGCAAAAATGAGAATTTTCGAACTGTATAGCATACATATTCGTCATAGACAATTACCTATTATTATTTACCTAATATCGCTTTACCTAATACATAATGTATGCTGGTCTTAGGGACTAATGATTAATTGTTTATAACTTTCTGACTCCAAATTTTCATCAATTTTAGTTTGGCTACTTACTTTGAAAGAACGTTTTGAAGATTTTACATTAGTTCACTGCTTTAGTTTATTCTCTAACTTTATTAATTTCTTTTCAATGACATAACATCATTAAACACAAAAAATATTGTTTCCCGATTGCGATTGCGATTAGCTGCCTACACTTACCTGATGTGGATAATGTAGTTCTTAATTAATATTAGCGGTAAATTAAAAATTAAATAGACCCTAACCCTTTTCCGGATCTTTTATAAATATATTTATTTATTTACAGATACACTGGATTTGATTTACGTGCACGTCTTGGAGAGTGGGACGTCAACCACGACGTAGAATTCTACCCCTACATAGAGCGAGACGTGGTATCTGTGCACGTTCATCCTGAATTCTACGCTGGCACTCTCTACAATGATATTGCTATTTTGAGAATGGATAAACCAGTCGATTGGTCCAAAAGCCCACATATTAGTCCTGCCTGTTTGCCTCATCCCCAAGACGATTATACCGGTGTCAGATGTTGGACAACAGGATGGGGAAAAGATGCTTTTGGAGATTTCGGAAAATATCAGAACATACTTAAAGAAGTGGACGTACCGATAGTTGATAGCGGTATTTGTCAGAGACAGTTACAGCAAACTAGATTGGGGTAAGTCGGATAAATATATTTTGACCTTGGTTTACAGTTTGACAAAATTAAGAAACTCTTACAGTCTTATTAATAACAAAGTTAAGTTTCGGTTTTATAAAAAGTTAAGGCATTAAAAAAATAAAAATAAACGTAAAAAAGAGAAATAATACAGGATTTGAGTAAATTTGGCAAAGTTAAAACAGGCTTTTCACACTTTACACTTATTATCAAGAAATTTACACTTTTAATCAAGAAAACTATTGACACGAAAGATAATTCTTTATTATATCGTCGTACACACGCAATAAGGTGGAGAAGAACCTTAAACTGTGAGAAGATAAACATCACCAAAAGTTTTGATGACTAGGCTGGGCTACAAATAAAGAGTACATAGTATCTTATGCTATCTCGTATGTCGCTAGATGTTCATTAATAATGAAGATGCTGTGTGGTGCCCATTTGGTAGTTGCCTTGTTTGTTTTTTCTTCCTTAATATATTCATTATATTCTTCCCTTTCATTTACTATGACATATGTTAGAATTCGATCGGTTGTTTATTTTGTACTTATCAAGAGGCATTTAAGTCAAAAAATCAAAATTTGTCTCATAGTAAATATATTTTGTCCATACTGCCCTATGATATCTCGTATGCTGCTAAAGTTTATTAATAATGAAGATACTGTGTAGTGTGTAGTGTGCTTTTGGTAGTCGTCTTGTGTGCTTTTTCTATCTTAATATATTCGTTATGTCCTTCCCTTTCATTTAACATATTACACTCTCCAATAGGGCCAATAACAACGGAGATAATGTAATGCCATTTTGACAATACCGCCATGTGTGTTTTTTTGTCTCAACATATTCGCTACCTCTCTCCGTTCCAATGATATATCATGATATATCATGATATATCATCCTGATCCGACGTTTATCGAATACGATTCTACACCCACCACGAAACACTCAAAGAATGTTTGAATCATCAATTTGTAGAATGAATTAGCAATAAATCACCCGTACCTTTCAAAAACAAAATATTATTGAAATGTCAGTTAGATTTCTTTCCTAGGTAGCGCTAGGAGTTATTGTACTGGACAAACAGTGTGAGTTGTAGTTCTAGCCTTTTATATGGATAGATATTGGAAAAGCTAAGCTTAATTCCTTATTACTAATATACTTATACTGTACAGAAAAACTCTATCGAAAGAGATAAAACAGCAATTTATATCAAGGGATAAATTTTTATGTCTCTTACACAAATAAAAGGGGAAGCAAATATGAGTGATGAGGAGATACTGACCATACCGAAGGAATATCTAAAGCCATATTATGTCCAATTTATAAAAAAATTGACAATAGTATAAGTCAAAACTACAGAGGCATGGCATTATTCAATATAGCTTATAAAATATTTACAGTGTACCTATCTAAAAAATAATAATCTCAGAAGGTAAACAACAAAGTTAGAGAATATCAGACGAGGACGTAGCAGAATTGAATACATTTTTGTATTACTAGAAATTGAAGAAGAAAGTTATTAATAGAAATCCACTCTAAAGCGTTTTATTTACTTTAAACAAGCCTTTAACTAACTGAAAAGAAAAGAAATATTAGTGAAAATTATTATTTAGTCAATTAGAACGCCAAAGCTCACACTTTGAAAAGCAGTGAACAAAATTAATATAAATGGTAAATAAACCGAAAAGTTTACCGTACGACAAGGAGGTCCATTTTCATTGAAGTTGTTTCATATTATTCTTGAAGAGATCACGACAGAATCGGAAATTAATAAACTTTAGTCATATATCAACAAAAACATAAAGCTCACAGGAAACATGAATTAAAGGCAGTGAAGAAAGTTTAAAAAACCAGCAGAATGAGTAAGAATTATCGGAGTACACACAAATCAATAATATTCTTCATATAATAAGTGCATACCTAGTTTTTCTTATTTTTATAACCGATACGATTTCCCTCTGTTTATTCGTTGTTGAACTTCAGTTAACAATCTTGGTAATTCAAGGTATTTTCAAAATTTGACAATATCCCTTCATCCCGAAGGATTTTAGGTTATCCAAGCTTACAGTATTTACCGTTTATGTCTCGATTTCATAAAGGAATATATTTAACACATTTCACAATAAAACATCACATAATCTTTTTAAATCTTATCTGCATATTGAGATGTGAATCGAAAAACAAATCGCTTCCGTACAATAAAAATATGTATTTTTAAGGCTTGCGAAATTATGGTTTTTATTTTTCGTTCATAATTAAGCTTTTTGTTAATCCAAGAGCCCAATGAGGACTTGGAATGAGCTACCTGTTATAATATCATTTATATGTAGAGACAATGAAATATTTTGTTTGTTAGACTAATAAATCGAATGGAAAAACCAGGAGTAGATACAAGAGCAATTAATGATAATAACAACAGTATTACCGGGCATTGCTTATGTCCTGCCTAAGCGTCCCCCAAGATCATCTTTCATCTTCCTCTAATACTCATTTCAGGAATCTGGAAGGTCACGACGTTGAATATAAACAATCCTCTTTCATTTTGGCATCAATCAGTGCTACTCTAATATACTCATTCTCAATTTTATCCTTTTTTGTCACTCCACTCATCCATCTAAGCATTCTTATTCCCGCCATATGCATTTGTGCCAATGTCTTGGACCATTTCTTAGTACTTTTAATAATTTTTGAAGCTAACGTTGTTTTTAGCTCAGTTAGGCATTAGCCCAGATTGGCCAGTCCATTTCAGCCGTGAGGCTTTGTTTTTTTTGCTTTCTCCTGATTGAATGAATGAATTTATGTGTAGTCTCCTGCAAATAAATAGTTTGAAATTTCAGACTTGTCCCCTTTTTTTATTGTTATATTTGTTTTCCATTTATTCTGAATTAGACTAATTATGCAGTTTGTTAGGATATTCTGTTTGAAGTTTTTGTGACAAAAAAAAACAACTATTTTAGATAATAATTTCCTCTACATGGTAATATTTTTCTGATTTTTTTTTCATTATATTTAACAAAAAAAAAACTGTTTCTATATGTTAATAATCGTTGGAAGATCATTAGTATTAATAAATTATTTGTTTCAGCTACGACTTCAAGCTCCATCCTGGATTCATATGCGCTGGCGGAGAAGAAGGAAAAGACGCATGTAAAGGTGACGGTGGTGGTCCAATGGTATGCGAAAGGGGTGGCACTTGGCAAGTAGTAGGTCTAGTAAGTTGGGGTATCGGATGTGGTCAGACCGGAGTTCCTGGCGTTTATGTTAAAGTTGGCTACTATCTGGACTGGATCAGGCAAATAACGCAAAGATATTAGGTCGACTTTAAAGTTAAGAAATTATTGTTTTACAGTTAGATTTAAATTAAATTCCAATACTTTTCTTAGTTTTAAGATTATTTATTAATTAATTATTTATGGAATAGTTTAATATAACTTATTACTTGTAAATAGTTAAGTTCTTCTTTGTTTATTTTTTGTGATATATTGATTTTGTACTGATCCTCCTTTTTAATAAAACCATGTAAATGAAGTTGTATGTTTTCCATTTATATCTATGTATTTAATTTTTTTGGTGTACATTTTTATTGATTGGTATATTAATAATTGACGACCCGATGAACAAAAGTCGATAAAAATAATATAAAAAATTGAAAGGAGAGCTAAAACTCGATTTTATTAAGAAATATCAAAATTCGTTTTTTACTGTTAGATAAAGCGAAAAGCTCGGGTTCGTTCGGAAAAATATTCCCATGAGATTTTTTTACATACGGACTTTCATGAGATATCCCAAAATGACATTAAATGGTAAAATATTAGTAAAAAGCATTGATTTTTTTGAATTAATTTTTCTAAATCACGGAACACCTACTAGAATCGCCCAGAGTGGAAATAATTCTGCTGTTGATTTGACTATCACCTCAACTACATCAATATAAACATCAACAAATCATATAAACTTGTCAGTAATACCGACACATTGTGATCCGATAATTTTTCTATTAAAATATAACTTCAAATGAATCCATCTTCATTTCTAATTAATCCATCAAGAAAATGGAACGATTGCCGCGCTGACTGATCTACTTTTTTCATCTAATACTATTTCTAACAATGAAAAGACATCACTAGTCTTTCAGACTATCTCTCTAGCTGCTTCCAAATCCATGTCCATAAAAAAAACCTTTTACACCTTCAACACCAAGTCCTTGTTGATGGGATAAGGAATGTACATATAAAATAAAAAAACGGTCAGAAGCCTTGAAAGCATATTGAATGCAAAGTAACCATGATAATTACATAAACTATAAAAATATGGACAACCGTCTGATCAATTTCCAAGAACTATCAGTAAAACAAAAGACCTCAACTTATCATGTATGACAAAATCTTTTGAAAGGCTAATAAAATTTAGATTAGAACATTTTATTAAAAATAGTTCAGTTTTTCCCCAGCGGCGACCGGCTAGGTAAAGTAGGTAAAGGTGAGGTTCACCAAAAAAATATAATTAAATTGAGACAAATAAATAAAAAATGAAAGCAACATTATTATATCTAAATTCTGAAATAAATTATTTATTCTCTTTTAATTAAGGATGTTTTAGCAGTCAAAGCACACTGCGATTTGAAATGGGCGTATCACTTACTTTTCTACACTGCTTACGCCACCCGACGGGTACAGCTGTTTACTCAGTGATGCTGGCCGATGGGTAGTTTAATGACAACAAATGCATTATTCTCCATTCAAATTAGTTTTGTCGGGAATACCTTTTTTGATTGATGATCGTAGATGTTTTAAAAAGAATTATCACACTTTTAATTTATATGTATTAGCTAAATATAGTATTGAATAAAAATTTCTGAAATATGACTGCAAAAAACATCATGGTGTTTATTTATAATAAATTTAAAATAACATGAAAATGTTATTATCAAAAAAACAATACAATTTGTTGTAAACAGTTTCGCCGTTTTAACTTGAAAATGATTTCAAATCGAATTGACTGACCGTACGTGCATAAGATTTGACGACACGAAGGCGATATAGATGAAACTGAGTGCCAATGATGAGTAACACGTTTCACTATTAGATTTCAGTATTTTTTAGCAATTTTCTTCAAAGTTTGAACACGCTTTTCTCGATTATTACTGGACACAGAAAGGTGAAAAAAAAATCAACGATTACAGAAAAAAACTCTTTCAAGTGATGGGCGTAAAAAGTTTGGTTAGAATAGAACGTTAAACTGCATAATCCGATATTTCGAAAGAACTTTCAAAAAAATTAAAAAAATAAAACCATCAGTTTAAAGGCTACATAATTTTGAATAAAGTGTCCAAATTTCGAGACATTTTGTCGGTAAATAACAGAGAAAACACTGTCCCTAGGTTATGGTATACCGATAAAACAGCCTTTAGCGGTAGGTACTTGACGGTCAAGTCCTGACCTGTGTCACTAGCCGTGTTCGATTCAGGAATAGGTGAATTTCATTTTTGAAATGCGGAATTCATCTGCACAAGCGTTCACGGTTGCCATGGCAACGTGACGTCAGACTATCCTTGATAGCTGAGAAAACTGTCTTTCTGTCTAAAAATCTAAAAATTCATTATTTGTCTTCACTACCACTGTTGGATGTGTATTTGGTATTCCTATTTTTCGGAAATTTCTCTCAGCGACAATATTTTGAAATTTAGTCTATTATATAGATATTTTTATGTAGTATAGTGTATAGTATATATAGTATTTATTAGTTTAGTTTAGTCACAGTATTAATTTCATTTAAATCAATATAAGGTTGAATGTTCGAATAATTAAACTTTGAGGGTATACAAGGCAACTATCGAACACGGTGATTAATTTAATCTTGCCCAAGTACTTTCGATCAATAGATCATCTTCAGGGGCATTTCGTCAGTTGTGGCCTATCCGACATGAGTAGAATGTCATAAATGTAAAATTTGGACATAATAATACAAAATACAATACACAAAGACAAACAAACACTTTAAATTTTTTAAGGAGAAGCTACATGTTGTATAGAAGCCGGAGCTCCGGTTTGGGAGATTTACAATAGTTTTTATTTATTGTCTTTATTTGACTCCAAATGTTTATTACTTGTGAATAAATATTTTTTCTACAAAAGGTTGCTTGCAGTTCATTATTTTGTGTAAATCCTTCAGGTAGATCGCACCTTCGAGGTAGACCGCATACTATAGTAGCACCTTTTTTTTTAATCTAGAAAATTTAAATTTAACTTGAATAAAAAATAGAAATATATGGGTAAATATAAATAGTACATTCAAGAACAGTGGTGGGCCCAACGGACCCGAGTTTCCCAGTAACGTAAACACACCCACATACACACACGCACATACCAACAAAGATTGAGGACCATCTTCTAATCTCAGTACTCTTCCAGCTTTAGGCTGCTGATTTTTAAACTCGTCCAAACGATTGGACTTCCATAAAGATTGGACGTCTGCGCTGGATCGACCATGTTAAACGGATGTTGGAGACAAAAACATCAAAACATACTATGAGGCAAACACCGATAGGAACAAGGTAAAAGGAAAGATCCAAACTTAGATACATGGAACAAGTGGAACAAGATCTGAAAACAATTAAGATTACCAACTGGAAAAACAAAGCAAAGAACAGAATAGAATAGCGGAAAATCCTAGAACAAGCCAGGACCCAGAAAGGGTTGTCGAGCTACTGATGATGATGAAACGACCGATTTTCTTATAACATACGGATGAGATTCCTTTAGTCATCTTAAGATCTTGGGCAACAAAGTGGGCTAGAGAGACGTTATACGGAACACTAAAAAGGTCCTGCTGAACTTCTGCGATCACGCCGAATCTAGCACTCTTTGCGTAATTTGAAGAGCATCGAAGACAAGCGCTATTGAGAACGCCAACGGTTGATATTCTAGATTCATCCTTCTAAGAATTTTGTGATAGGTACCACGCATCGGAGGGGGACTATTTCGTTACACTATCTATCATAACTAAATTAGTTAATGGTCAAAATAAACTTTTAATACTTTTATATAATAATTTTGTTGAAAAATATTTTTGACATTATTATTTTCCATTATAAAATATGTAAAACTAAAGCTAATAAAATTTTGTATTTAAATATAAATATATAAATTTCACGTTTTTTAGTTTTTGTGTTAACTAAAATACTTTGATTAAAATCGATATACAAATATTTAGAGCTATCTACAAACTAGATATTATGGAACTACTTATTATGGAAATCGAGAGCTTACCGCCTACTGTCTTTGGTTTTGACTTATTTGGACATGTTTGAACTTGTACTCTGCTACTCTGAAAATTAGTTATAGTTCAAATTTAGAAGTATATTCCTGGTTTGTTACGTTCGTTTTGAAGTGTGTGCTGTCTGATCTTTAAATGTCTGATATAGCGGCTCAGAATACGCACTATGACCTGTTGAGTTTTTATACAATTAAGTACATTGTACATTTAAAAATATATAGAAATAGTTTTAGAGCAGCAACCGCAATTAAGGTATTTTTATACGGGACTCATTGTTAGGCTTCTTAATACTATAGTGAAGCGTATCTGTATCTGTATATATCTGTATGTATCTGTATCAGGACTCGCCGAACGCGTAGTCTCGTATTAACAATCACTCCGGGCATTCACATAGGAGATGCTCTACAGTTTCGTGTTCTCGTTATTACTTCCTACATAGAGGTGTGCCTATTAGGCCCAATGTCTGGATGTGTTTGCTTAGTTGACAATGACCAGTTAAAAAACCAACTGTCAAGAGTAGGTTTTGCCTGGTTATTCTAATTGGGTCAGTCTTTGATGCTGACTTTTCAAGGTTACTAGTGTTACCCTGGCAAGTCTTCATCCTTGCCCTTCTTCCTATCTTTTCACGGTTTTCATATGGGAGTGACAAAAAGATCACCAGGTCCTAAGAGTCTTCGGCATACCGCCTTCCTAGCCAATTGGTCAGCAATGCGGTTGCCTTTATTCCTATTATGTCCTTTAACCGACCTCAGGATAATGGTATTACCATCCGAAGCTTGAGTTAGTGACTCGTGACACTCTATTACTAACTCTGATGTGACACGTGGTCTATTCAAGGTTAGTAGAGTTTGTCTGCTATCTGTGCAGATTATTATAGTTTTCCCGGCTATATCATTATTTTTTAAGAGCTTCTTTGACAGTCACAAAAAAACAAAAACTAATAAATGACCAGTTTATTAAAACACTTCTTCTTCCTCAGCTTTTCCCTTTTCAGGAATCACTGTTCCCTTACTCTTGGTAGCCACTTATTTCTATTCAT